AGAGAAACAGAGAGACAGAGAATGACTCTTCTATCTTGTGGCTCACTTGCAGGTGCTGCCAGCAGCTGGAGCTGGGCAGGTTGACAGCAGGAGCCTGCAGCTCCTTCCTTCCATGTGGGTGGCAGAGACCCAGGTCGCTCAGTTACCACCTGCTGCCTCCCAGACTGCGCATCAAGTCAGGAAAGCACATGCAGCCAGCCCATCTTGTTATGCCATTTGTTTCTACAACCTTCTCCAGAGCAAGTCGGGGGGCAGGAAGTTCAGCACTGGCGGACTGACCCCGGTATTGAGATTTTGTGCAAGCTTCCAAACTAATAGCTCAAACATGCAATGGATTTCTGTGGGCTAGGAAACAGAGTGGTAAGGAGAGAACGTTACCAGCGTAACCTCACCCGCAGTGCCAACACACGGAGTTGAGGGCTGGGGAGTGTCTCCCCTGAGCAGAGAGTTCTGTGACACGGCTGGAGGAAGTGCTCACAGGATCCACAGCCCCTGGAACCTTCAGAGCATCTGCTTCTGCTGCGGATCTGAGCTCTCTGGAGGCAAGACTGAATTAGCAAGAGGAGACAGGCAACAGGAAGCGAGACCTCAGGAAGCTGGTAAGGGAGAGAAATGATACAGCATGAATTCTCTTTGGAAGCTCCTCAGGGCATGGGGCTGTAGCTACCTGCCTCACATACATATCGGCAAATCCACTTGCAAAAACTTCCCCCAAGTCCCTAAGATACATTCTAAATGTTTTATAATGAGCAATCATGCCAAGTCTCAAATAAGTAGCATTAAGAGGGCAGGGGCTCTGTGGCACAACACGCTAGGCCGTTCTTTGTTGAACTTGCCAGGATTCTGGTTTGAGTTTCAAATGCTCCAACTTCAGACCCAGAGGGAGATGATCCAAGTACTTGGGGCCCTGCCACACAATATGGGAGACTCACAGGAAACTCCAGGCTCTTGGCATCTGCATGACCTAGTTCTAGCCATTGTTGGGGAATCAACCCGCAGATGGAAAATCTCTGCATGCCAATTAAATAAATATTTAAAAAATTATGGTGGGGCCAGCACAGTGGCCTAACACTGTGGCACTGTGGCCTGTGGCACTGGTATCCAAGCAGGAGCTGGCTCGTCTCCTGGCTGCTCCACTTGTGATCCTGGGGAAGCAGTGGAAGATGGCTCAAGTCTTTGGGCCCCTATACCCATGTTGGGAGACCTGGAAAAAACTCCTGGCTTGTGGCTTTTGATCAGGCCGGCTTCAGTTGTTGTGGCCATTTGGGGAGAGACACAGGAGTTAGAACATCTCTCTCTCCTCTGTAAATCTACCTTTCAAGCAAAAATAATCTTTTTTTTAAAAAGGAGGCTTCATTTTCTTTTGGGGGGGGGAAAAGTGACAGGTCAAATTTATATTCTCATAAAAATCATTTATGAGGCCAGCATTGTGGTAAAGTGGGTAAAGACACTGCCTGCAATGATGGCTTCACATAGGAGCACCTGTTCAGGTCCCAGACTCTAGTTCAGATCCAGCTCTCTGCCAATACACCTGGGAAAGCAGCGGAGGATGACCCAAGTGCTTGGGATCCTCACCCACATGGAAGATCTGGTTATAGTACCTGTTGAGTGCAACCCTGCTTCTTGTGGTCATTTGGACAGTGTACCAGTAGATGAAGATGCTCTCCCCCTGTAACTGGCTTTCAAACAAAAACATTTTTAAGAAAACATTTATTTAATTTTTTTGTAAAGTCAGATATATAGAAAGGAGGATAGACAGAGAGGAAGATCTTCCGTGTTTTGATTCACTTCCAAAGAGGCCACAATGGCCAGAGCTGCGCTAATCTGAAGCCAGGAGCCAGGAGACTTTTCTGGGTCTCCCACGTGGGTGCAGGGTCCCAAGGCAACAGCTTACACTGTCCACACATTATGCCACCTTATTTTTCATTGACCATATCTACAACCGTAACTCCTGCAACTCCCCATCTCACTTTTTTTTTTTGTTACATTATTTTTTATTGATTACACTGCATTATGTGACACTGTCTCACAGGCTCTGGGATTCCCCCAACCCCTCCCCAGACCCTCCCCCCATGGTGGATTCCTCCACCTTGTTGCAGCATTACAGTTCAAGTTCAGTTAAGATTCTTTCATTGCAAGCATAGAGTCCAGCATCTTATTGTCCAGATAAATTCAACAGTTTCTTGGGGAGACCATCTCTGGTCTGAAAGCAGAGCTGGCAGAATATCATCCCGATCCATTAAAAGCCACAACATAACATCAACATCAATTTACAACATTATGCAATTAATTGACATGGTATTGAGTAACAAATATGTTAAAAAATGCAAGTTCTTAACTGTATCCTCTACTTCATTGCCATTTCAATTTTGGTTTATTCAGAGAACCGGCTGCTATACACTTTAAAATGGCTATAGGGTACTATTCAGCTGTCTTGTGACTATTTTCATTTTAGCATTCAGCAGTTTATAGTGTTGAAGCTTAATTTTGCTGAATGTGGCAGATTTTGGGATAGTCTAAACTGGCTTATAACAAGGCATATGTCAACAGCTGAAGTGCAGAACAGGGGTTGGGACATTGGCTCAACTGGCTCATCAACTGCCTGCAAATGCTGGCATTCCAAATGGGCACCGTTTTGAGTCCTGACTGCTCTACTTGCTATTCAGCTCTAATGCTTGCAGCCTGGGAAAGTAGTAGAGGATGGCCCATGTACTTGGGACTCTGCACCCACTTGGGAGACTCCAGAGAAACCCCTGACTCCTGGCTTTAGTTTAGCTCAACTCCAGCTGTTGTGGTCATTTAGGGGAATGAGCCAGTGGAGGGGAGAACTTTCTCTCCACCGCTCCTTCTCTCTATAAATCTAACAAAAACACAGCTAAATAGAATTTTAAAACCCCCTACAAACATGATAAACCTCTTGATTCCCATATTCAAAATCATCTTGACACATTAACCCTGTATGTGAAATAAATAGAAACAGAACCAGTTATCCAACGCAGATCCAATTTTGCGGCTTGTTAAGCAGCACCCCTGTGGAAGGCTCGGGGGTTCCACGTGCGTCCAGGTGAGGGGTGGCTGAGGCTAGGGTGGCCCTGGGGCAGGTGACGGCAGCGGGTCCGGGTGCAATAGCAATTTCTTCTGGTAAGCCTGACATTGGAAGGGACTCCTTTTCCCTCATCTCCCAACAAAGGCGGCACATGCCCTCCCTCAAGACCAGGGTCCGGGTGCTGTCCACAGGTCAAGTACAGGCTCTCTTACTTTCACCACTTTAAAACGGATCTACTAGGCTCAGCTCTCCATTGCATCAAAAAGAAAATAAAAGCCATGAACTTGCAGCCTCAGGGATCGGACAAGAGGGAAGAAAACAGGTGAGACTCTGTAATTACTGCCTTGGTGAAGTTTTGTTGAAATCAACCCAAGTGGCTCTCGGGCTCAGTTCCGGTCTATGCTCGGAGTGGCGAGGCTTCATTGTGGCCTCCGGAGCAGCATGCAGAGGGCAGTGCCTGGCGTGCCAATCCCGGACTGTGGTTCCATCTCCCTTTCGGGGACTCGTTTGTGGAGACCCACCCCAATGTCACCTTCACTTGGCAAGACCATTCTATCAGGGTTAACTGAAGGCAGATCCTTGATTAATTAGTCACTCCTGGTGAAGAATAAATCATTACAAGTTCAGTTTGCCTAATCCCCAAATCTTAAATCCAAAACACTCCCAAGCCCGAACCTTTCAGTGGGAAATTCTACAATTAGTCCAATCACAGGTGTCCTGCTCCCGGCTGTGTGTACAAGGTGTACATGAATGCAAATGAGTTCGGGGTTTAGACTTGGGTTCCTTCTCCACGATGTCTCATTATTATGTATGTTGAAGCACTCCACATCTGAAAAAAGGCCCACATTGGAACCACTCTTGGCCGCATGTGTTTTGGGTAAGGGACACTCAACCTGTGTCAGGAATGGGGTGAACAAGACTGCCAGGCCCTTTGCGCCAATGAAGTAGGTCTCCTTTCAGAACGTACCCATGGGTCTAGCTGGCTTTCTACCACCTGAGCCCTGGCCTCCATAAAGTGGCCAGCATAGCACCTAATATACAGGGACACTCCGTGAATACGTCCCAGTCAACTTACCAGTTATTTGTTGAGTACCAATGCTGCGCCAGACCCCATGTCTGGTGCTTTTTATGTTTCATTTTCCAGTAGGTGTTACGGGCTCATTTAAAAACAACAACAACAAAACATTTATTGTATTTGGCATGGTGGCAAAGAGAGACGTTCTATCTGGAGGTTCACTCCCCAGACGACGACAGCTGGGTCGTGCTCCAGCCGAGAGACTAGAGCTCCTGGGTCTCATGTGGTGGGTGCGGTCCAAGCGCTTGGGTCATGTTTCACGTTTTTCCCAGGCACATGAGCAGGGAGCTAGTTCAGAAGCAGGGCAGCTCGCTGGCAGCTTAGTTTACTGTACCACATACTGTTCTCTATTAGCCCACTTTCTAGTTGAGTTAACCGAGGCTCAGGCATTCAGTTTATTCAGACAATAAAATGTAGTTAGCAGGAGCTGGTGTTCTGGTCCAGTGGATAAAGTTGCTACTCAAGATGCTGGCATTCCACCGAAGCATTGCTTTGAGTCAAAAGACTGCTTCACTTCTGATCCAGCTTCCTGCTACTATTCCTGGGAAAGCAGTGGAAGATGGCCCAAGTGCTGGGCCTCTGACATCTACTTGGAAGATCTGATGGAATTCTAGGCTCCTGGTTTTGACCTGGCCAATCATTTTGGGAATCAAACAGTAGGTGGAAGATACATCTCTGCCCCCACCGCTCAACTCTGCTGTTCAAATAAATAATCTTTATATGTTAAAAAGAAAGGTAGCCAGGAGTGTGTGGGACAAAAATGTTGAACCATATTTCTGTATATTAAAGAAAGGAGTGCCCAACATGAAATAAAACAATAAACCCAGATGAAAGAGAATAAAAGGCTCTATTACATACCTCAGAATGCAGACACAAGGGTTAATTAGATGTTTGATTTTATTTATTTATTTTTGCAGAAGGCATTTAGGGATAATGTATTGAGTCCTCTGCATATTCTTCCTCCTCAAGCTTTCTCCATGTCCCAGAACACACTGGGACAAAGAATAAGTTGGGCTTACTCTGGGAAACCCAGCAAGGAGCCCGGGAGGCGATGTGGGCAGCCCTCGGCAGCCCTGGGAGCTGAGCTCCGGCTTCTGTGTTCTGCAGTAGCAGGGACAGCAGCCTATCAACCTGGATGTTGTGATTTCTCCATCACCCAAGTCAATCTACTTCGTTCATGAAACATTTTAATGATCTGTTTCCTTAGGTTAAGAGAGGGAGAGCATGAGGATGGCAAAAACAAAACTCAAAAAAAAAACCCAAGCAAAACAGGTGGGAAAAAAATGGCAAAGAAATACAACTGTGAATGCTTAACCAAAACATGGAATGGGCTGGGGAGGAGTATGATCTCGCTGTTGGCAGTAACAACGCCGGGCTCCTCTGACTGTGGAAGATGATCAGAAATCTTTGCCTGGTGACAGGTGGCTGCCTTCAGGGCCAGGTCTTCCCACAAGCAAGAGGGAAGGGCCCTGGTAGAGGACCCCTTGGTCCTGCCCGCGGGAATGCAGCCCACTTGCTGGCTCATCTGCACGGTCTGCTCTCCAGCCGGGGTTCCGAGAAGGCTGGCTGCAGACCAGGACTTGGGTGTGGTGCAGGATTGCTTCGGGAACTAAATCCTACTTTGAAGGCAGGAGCGCCCTTGGCTTTCCACTTCAAAAAGCGAAGAAGCGTTTTCATCTGATGCTGCTGCAGGCTTCCGAAGCACATGACTGCAGACACAGGAGGTTAAGCAGAGCCGCTCATAAAGCCTCGGCCTCGCCACCGGCCACTCCTGCACCCAGGCTTTACCTGCTCACACGCAAGCACGCTCTTAACGGCAGCCACGCTTATGAGTGTATATAGAACCTGGCTGGTCTGGGAGGTTGCCACGAATGACTTAATGAAACGTATCAGCCATCTAGCCTTTGAACGCCAGAGAAACTTCCGGAAGTATCAATCAGCCTGGAGTCTCCGGGTCCCAAACTTTGGTTCTAAGGATATGCCTTCAGCACCGCAGAACGAACAATGATCCTAACTTAAAAATGAACGGAATCTCAAGAAACACAGAAATTGTCTTGAATCTGATTTCTTTACACTAAGGAAAAGTCCTCTTTTATTTCGCATTTCCTTTTATCTTGTTCGGTCTTCAAAACTAGTATCAATACAATTGATCAGGAGAAAAAGGACTGACAAATCATTACAGAAAAAAGTCTCCAAAGAACCATTTGTTGATATTACTTTGTCATAAATAAGGAACTATTGCAACCTAGTTCTGTATTAGTATGCAACATGTACGAAAAACAAACAAACAAAAAACCCAACTAACCCCATCCTTAATTTTTGAAATTCAAAAAAATGCCAAGTATAACAGAAGCTGGGGGTGAAAGGCTTGTGGGGGGCTCTCCCGCAAACCCAGGTAAAGACTCCCAGATTTGTGACTTCTTTCCTGGCACACGTGGTATCTGCTGCTTGTGAAATCTGTGAGCTCACAGAGGCAGGAAGATGGAGACCTGACAGGCTGCGAACAACCCTTGGTGCTACTTCACCAGAAATGTGATTGGTTTCAAAAAAAAAAAGGGAGATTTAGAGAATGAAGACTGAGATAGGAGAAAACTGGAAAGAAAACATAGCTAGGCCCAGATTAGCCAGCAAGGAGGTCGCTTAGATAGACAAGCCGACCACCGCATACCCGTGGAGGGGAAATCATGTCCTTGACTACAAATGCAGATTATGTACACATTTATATTGTCTTCAGTTCTTCCACCGCACCTGACGAGTCCAACAGAGAGCCTCTGGACAGAGGCGGGAGGTCCTGTTTATTGGCTGGTCAGGTCGCTGGCCTTGGCCCGGTCGGGGGTCTCTGTGCAGGACTCAGCTGCGTGGTATATGAAGGGGTACAGCTTGACGTGTGGCCCAGGCGTCGAGCAGTTCCTGCACTCTTCATTGTAATAGCGGAGCAGCAGCTGGTACACTTCTCCTGGAGAGTGAGGCCAGGGCGAGGCCATATTACTGTTTGCAGGTGGGAAAAAGCTTCACTCTGAATCTTCCTAGCATAAGATTAGATTTGGCTTTTGAAAACACAGCCCGGATCTCAGATTATGCCTGGAGGGCTTCCTAACACAAGCCCAAAAGTCCTTAAAAAATGTGGTTTCAGGAACTACTGATAGGCTCATGACTACTGCCAGGTACTGACTTGGGGATCTCATGGCCACCTAACTTGACACTCAACTCCTGAGTGGCCACACTGGACAGGCACGCCCATCTGCTGACTCGACAGGGAGACCTCTCGGTCTTCCCCCTCTTTTTGCTTAAAACAGGCACTAACTCCAGCTTCTGGGGCCTGACTTTAGAAAGATGACATACTCAGGATCTCAGATGGAGCTGCCAGAGGCAGCAGTTGCAAATGCTGTGCTGGGAAGGTCTGTCCTCCCCCCTCCAAGTCGCTGTCCCCAGAGCTATCCATTCTGGGTTCAGCAAGTGCTCCTTTTGGATGCTGCGCTATCGATCTCCATAGCAAGTGTCAAGCCCAGCTGCTACTTACCAACAGTCAGCTTCCTCTCGGTAAGGAAAGTGTGCATGCTGTAAATGTCTCTCATCAATTCCGAGTCCCCAAAGGTGAAATAAACCACGTCTCGCTCGGCGGCAGCAGCTGCCAGGATCTGTATTAAGGCTGTGGTAAAGAGGAAAAAACCAGACACTTTCAGCATACCTCCCATCCTCATACCTTTGGCTGCTTCGACCAGCCAAGTCTCAGAAGGTGTGCAGAGATTTCATTACAAATTAAACACTATAAAGTCTAATGCATATACACATGGTGGCCACAAGCACACTGCCCCTGGTGACACGTATGTGTGTCCCTTGAGACAGCCTCAGCTGACAGCAAAGGTGCCACAGGTGCACAGGAAAGCCAGGTCCCACCACTGCCATAGTGGTCCTGGAATCCAGGTCATTGGGAAATGTGCTGTCTCCAGGTCATCTTTATCTGACACCTAAGACAACACATCAGATAGGGACCAGGATTATCTTCCCTGGAGTAAGGGACCAGGTGCATCTGAACCACTAGGTGCATTAAGGAATAGCACTTTCTCCCCACCCCACCCCACGCTCCCCCCCCCCCCTTAAAAATTATTTTCCCTTGCTAGGCTGCTGCTTCCTCGGGTGAGTGTTGAGAGTTGGGGCTAGGGTTAGGCTGGGTTAGGCTGCCGCATCCTCTGGCATACCTGAGAACCAAAATGGGTTTGGGCCAGCCAGGCTAGGTCACAGCACTGAGGCAAGTGTCAGCAGGACTGGAAGAGTCATGTCAACCTTGACTGCAGTATCCCCTGGGAGGTGCAAGATCAGGGGCTGGAGCAGGCCTGGTCGAGGATCTGTGGGCATTCCCTTGCTAGACTGTACCTATTGCTGGTGAGCGTGGGAACCAGGGCCCAGGGTGGGGCAGGCTGGAGAACATATCAGCACCTGTCAGTACACATGAGGGCTGGGTCTAGGGATGGGACAGGCTAGGCTGCAGTAGAGGTTGGCACGGGCAAAAACTGGGGCTGTGGGAGGACCTGGTGGGGGTTACTGGGGGTTGCCTTGACAAGGCTGTGGTACCCGATAATATATATGAGGGTTGTCTGTGGTGGGCCGGCAGGGCTGGGCTGCAGCACCTGTTGGTTCACATTAAGTACGAGACTGGAGGTGGAACTGATCAGGCAGCTGTATCTACTGATATGTGCACTGAGTGGTACAGGTGACAGACTGAACCTGACTCCACACTGGCTGGCACATACAATATGCAAGTCTGGGGTCACCCCAGACTTCTTGAGGGATTCCTGAATCAGAATGCTGGACTCAGATCCCAGCCACATAGAAAATCACAATGTGTGTGGTCCGACTTAGCAGTGTATGTATTGGGACTGGTCCTCCTCAGTTGCTGATGCCTGTGCAGTGGACAGTGTGCCCAGACTCACACAGGAGTTGTGATGGCCAGCTCTACTAGGCCAGCAGGGGAGTTGACACTGATTTTTACTGTCTCATCAGAGGATAGAAATCAGAACCGGTTGGACCACTCTCCTGTTCAAGCTTTGCAACATGTTCCTGCATCTGTGGATGCATTAACGTGGACTTTGTCAAACAACAGACCTTGAAAATATCTTCTTAAGCCTGGAGCTAAGAAACCAACAGCTTCTCAGTAACACCCTTGAAACATTTTTCCTCACATCTGGGTCTCTAAGGCATCATCAACTGACCCTCCCCCATCCTGGGTGCTAATGTAGTTTGACAGTTAAGGAGTGGCTCCCCTCCCCTCGCCTGCGGACAAGGAAAAAAAATTGTCCCATCCACCTCTCTCTATACCTGAATCATAAGCCCATATGGGTGTGCATACCTTTCAATTATATAAACAATATTAAAAGGAAAATAAAAAGTTACACAATAAATAAAAATGACTTCATTGAAAGAGATCTCTTATTGGCTGATTTCCTTCCTAAATGCCCATGACAGTCAGAGCTGAGCCAGAAGCCAGGAGTCTGTGAGTCAAACTGGTTCTTCCACTTGGGTGCTAGGGACCCAGTTACCTGAGCCATCACCTGTTGCCTCTAAGGGTGGAATCCAAACCCAGGCTTAGGACGTGGGGGAACCAAGTAGCATCTTAACAACATCAAACATCACCCCAAGATTCTTCTTCCTAGTCCAGTGTTTTTGGAGCTTGGGAATGGCCAGGGACCTAGAATGTGGAAATGTACCAGACTTTTCTCTTTTCCCAACTACTTCTCAAATACAGTGAAAAGCAAGAAGGAAAAAAAAAGAAAAAGGAAATGGTGTCTCCAAGACGGATGTTATCTAGTCATGGGACTTCCACACTGCTGCTGGGAACACTGCTCCATAACAGAATCCCCGTGAACAGACAAGGTGCATTTGAGGCTCAAGCCAATGCACTAATGCGATATTTCCACACACTGCTATTCATCTGCAACTGACATTTTGTGTTTGCTTGCTTGTTTGAACTATTTTCTTATGTGATTGGCGGTCTTCCGTGTCCTAGGCTTTCCTGGGAGGTCCTCACAATCTCCTAAGCCCCACATCAATCTCAAAGTGGGATCGTGTGTGTGCGCCCCTCCTGCGCTCTCTGCAGCAGGAGCCAGTGTCTCTGTAGCAACTCTGCTGGGCTGAGCTGATACGACAGACTCAGCATCTCCAGGAATCAGAGCTCACAACGTGCCAGGCCTGAAGCTGTTTTCCAAAACTCAAGGTCCTTTATAATCTTACTCTCAACACATAACTTATGGAACAAAACAGAACAGTCACATCAGATGTTCTTTTGCCAGCTGTGTATGTCTTACTTTCTAAAAGGGAAAATGGGTGTCAAAGCCAGAAGCCAGGAGTTTCTTCTTGGTCTCCAGGTGGGTGCAGGGTTCCAAAGACTTGGGCCATCCAAGAAGTAAAGTGTTTACAAATGAGATGCAGGCAAAACTGGTGGGAGCAAGGTTGAAGGAGCTCCCTTGCCCCCACACCAAACCAGTGTAAACAGGAAGCTCTGAGTCCATCTGATCACACAGAGATAAACAGAGGAGAGTAGGTCAGGCTGCAGGAAGCTTTAGAAATGGCAACCTTCTCTTTGCAACTCCCACGGTCAAGACTGGGTCAGGTAAGAATCACTGAGAGGGTCAGTCTGGGCAGAATGCTGTCCTACAAGTGCCTTCCAGCAGATGGCTTATCAGTTGACAGCAACTCCACAGCGGAGAAATGAGGTAACATTAGATGATGGCAAAGCAGGCCAGCACTATGTCAGACGGCCTTCAGGTGCTTCAGGACAGGACCACGAGCGTGGTGTCCTGAGAACGCACAGACTGCATCCGGAAGAAGCAGCCAACAAGGTCAAAGAACACGTATTCTCCCAGTGTGCCAATGTCTTACGTGAAAGGCTGTGCAAATGGCCTGCTTGCAACAGGGGCTGAAGGACAGGACACGTCAGCACAGCACCGGGCTCTGGATCCTGAGCCCGGCGGGACAAAGGCCGAGAAAGGGCTTCACCAGGTCATCGCGCACAGTGGGAAAGAGTTGATACCAATACAGATGACACTTATGAATTACAGAAAAGAATTTTCTTCTCCCCTAGGAAACACACACTGAAGTACTTAGGAAGAAGGGCAAACATTTGTAACTAATAGTTAAGAAAAAATAACTGTCTGTGTATACACAAAAATACATCTACATAAGTAAAGTTTCTTATTTTTTTGTAATTCTTAAGATTTTAAAAATAACATAGGAAAGAAAAATCATTTGAATTAAACTAGTAAAATTTGACATGGTTGAGTGTTTCTCTAATTTGAAGAATTTATGACATTACATGTGTGATTCTAAAATATATCAAAGTATGTCCTAATTTCTAAACTAGTATTTATTAGGTATCTACAACACGGGAGGTGCTACGACTAGGTCTCATTAATTTCAAGATTGTTGAAAGTAATTAATGTTAAAATAGAGATAAATTTTAATTAAAATTGCTCAACCAATTTATGCTCACGTTAAAGCTTCAGTACCCGCAATTTTAAAAGGTTCCTCATTAACCGAAACTATGTATAAAAATGGAAACTAATGAATTGTCACCTTCCTCTTCTCAGAGGCATCACTTCTTCCCTTTCAGCGAAGATGGAAATTTCACTTTAAAAAAAGTGAAACCTACTGAAACGAAGAGAGATCCAAAGAAAGCGGCTTTTAAATTCTATCTGCCTTGGGTTATTGGTCTCTGGGAAAATACATTTTAATAAAAACACACAGGATTGACTTCCTTACAGGATTCATTCATTTTTCAAATGTTCCACAGGCCATTTTATCACTGCGGACAGGCAATGAGAGCCAACCTGGCAGAACCACTCGCAAAGACGTTGCACAAGAGGACAGAAAGCCAGCTTGCAGGGCGCTCTTGACTCCGTACCCCTTTGTGTTTGCCTGCCGACTGGCCAGGGCCAGCCGACAGAAGGCCCGCCTGCAGTCCTCATGCTCTATGAATTGAGCCAGTCAAGAATTCTCTCGGTCCCGTCTTCTTTTGCAGCTGTACAATGAAGGCGCTGAACACATAAGGATCTTTTCAAACTTTAGAACCCCCAAATCACTGTCACCACCTCTCAGTAGCAGATGTAAGACTATTAAGCAAACACACAGCGAGACAAACTGCTGTCGACCTTGTGTAAGCCAGTAATCGCTGGCGAATGCCCTCTGACACAGCACTGCTCTTAGAGCTCCTGCCTAGGACACGCTCAAGAACTGCAAATCCAGAGGATTCTGTCTCGCGCTACCCCAAAAGTCAGAGAATAAATCACAAACCTAATAGGATGTGTGGACTGCTTCCAAGTATGATATAAAAGCATCAAATTCTAACTTCAAGCACAACTAGATGCCAAAGTAATCACTTAAATTGACCTGCAGGGAGCTTGATTTTAATTTTCTTTTTGGCATCAATGTTAAGCTATGGAGCAAATAGGTATGGACATTTAAAAAAAAAAAAAAAAGAATTCATGGTGTCCTGTTGCGACAAATGAACCCAACAGAAAGTGGGTCAGATGACAGATAGTCCTCCCACAGGGTGGTCTGAGGCCCCCACAGCATGAAATATTGGTAATCACTGCTAACATGGAGCTCTCCCAGCCTCCCGGGAGGGCTGTTTGCATCTCAATAGCCCAGCAAAGG